AAGTGGTATTAGGTATACAGTAGTAGTAGGTGCATAATGAATTGATGTGTTCCTAGTGTGTAAGAAACATTTAGTTTCGTAAGTAATTAAGTATTATTAAAATTGGAATAAGGGGAATGTTATATCAGCTGTGGTTGCAGATCAACCTCAATAATATGCTACGAAACCGGCCTGCGGCAGAAAAAACAACGGGGTAGTTTGACCCACTCAAAATAAAAGGGAAAGTTGTTTTAAGAATCTACGGTCAATATCAAGGTTTTCTATATGCCTTGAATAATCGAACCTTTTCATGGTTCTAATACAATTAGAATTATTTTTCGCTGTCCGCCATTATAGTTCCGACTTCAAGTATAGTCTGTTAATAGGTATTAATTAATTTATCCCAACCTTAGCATCAAGTCTTTTCTACTATATCCTAGTCCTGGCTATAAAATTAAATGAAGATACCCTTGATCCAATAAGAAAAACAAGTTGATACCTATGATAGTGACCTTGAACTAGGTATCCGTACCAATTATTACTTCTCGTCTCAATTGGTTCTAGTAATCATGGGATGCAATTATCCAATAAAAAACAACGTATAGGTACGTAAACATGAGATCTATTGTTAACTGATGTCAGGTACCTTTAGAGGTATAAGCCAAACTGATACATTCTTGTTGTCCTTTTCAGATTATACTATCCACATTGCCGTACCAGACACATTTCCAATAACTTTTCTTAAATGAGAATAATTTACAAACATTTGCCCATTTTTTCACGTGACGTTTTCATCAACTCTATCAAATAGGTAGTCATTATCATTCATCTCAATTGGTCCTACTAATCAAAGGCAGCGATTATTCAATGAGAGACCGTGGTAATAATTTTAGTTGCAGGTCAAGTGAGCTCGCAACTCACGTAATTGAACGACTAAAATGTTTATTTTTAACGTTTTCCAGTGAATTTCAACTGTAAAATGAATCATACGTGCTTTTTTATTATTTCCCGAGCATGAAACGTTAAATTTGAATAGAAATTCTTTTGTGCAAATAACGCCTGGTAATTTTTTGGTGTTGAATTACTTTGTTACAATTTGTGACTAATGAAAATTGTTAGGCGCTCGTTCGAGTTAGGTAGTAGTTAATTGTTAGATTCTGTATTTTAAGTTACTTATGTGTAATGATATGGCAAAAAATACCCCCCTTACTGTAAACAAATACATGTTTATTTTTATCATAAAATAGAGAATATGTTTTTTATTCCGCCAAAGACATTAAAAATTAACTCACCTACCTACATAAAATATAAATTTTCATGTATTTTTTTGTAATGTATTTTTCTGTTAGTAAATAAAGCTCGACTTGAGAAACTACCTCCATGGTCCTTTTCAGGATCAAAGGACCGATTTTGCAAGCACTAGCCGAGGTCCTTACCTCAGGCTTTTGCCACATAACTCTTCAGGGACAATCCAATTTCTTCGCAAATGTCTCCAAAAAACAAATAAAGGGATCTTGGATATTTTTCACGGGAAACATTATGCGTCACATAGAAATATATCTCACTCACACCATAAGGACCACATGAGTTATGGTACCCATCATTTCTTCTTATTCCAAATGTCTTTATGGATGCGTATAAATGAAAGTTATACGTCAAACTTAAAGGAGTATGAAGATAGGTCCCTATTTTTAAAGATCTTTGATATTACATCAGTTTCTTGATAAAAACGAAGGATTAGGTTATACCTGAATCAAAGGAAATGTTTGGTAACATAAATAGGTACGCGTGCATATATTGTTCCGTAAAAACATCGATATAATTAAAGAAAGAAAGAAAGAAAAACCATTTATTTTCGCGCAGAACACACATGATCTTAAAAACTACAACAAAACATTAATAGTTATAATGCAACTCAGAGCGTAAAAGAGACATCGATTATCGATAACTGTCTTTGGTCTGTCAAAGAAACCAATCAGATTGCATCGATCATCAGACAGATGAGAATAGAATAGAATAAGACTTTATTTGCTAAGATGCAGGTACATTCAAGTGTGGGAGAGCCATGCTTCGGCACGAATGGGTCGGCTCGACCGGAGTGATACCACGGCCTCACAGAAACCCGGCGTGAAACAACCACAGTGTTGTGTTTCGCCGTGTGAGTGAGGTTACCGGACGCCCAATCCTTCCCCGCCCCCAATCCCTAAATCTCCAAATCCCTAATCCCTAAAAGGTCGGCAACGCACTCGTATCGTAACGTATGATTAGATATGTCAGAGGTTTGTTCAATGAAAAAGTTATTAAAAGATTCAGCTATTAAATTAGGGTTTGATACCGTTTCATAAACTTAATTTATTAGGGGAATAACCCACAAAAGGTCGGTGACGCACTTGTTGTTAACTCCTTTGGTATTGCGGGTGTCCCTGACTGGGTGGGGCTTTTTGCTTGCCACCAGGTAATCCTTCTGCTCGTTTGCCGACCCATGATATAAAAACGAGCATTATGTCTCGCCGTTTGAGCGAGTTTACAGGAGGCCTAATCCTTCCCCTTCCCAATCCCTCATCTGGAAAAGGTCGGCCACGCACTCGTAGCTCCTCTGTGGTTGCGGATGTTCATGGGCGGCGCTGATTGTTTACCATAGCTAGCATCAGGCGATCCATCAACTCGTTGGCTGTCAAAAAAAAGGTATCCATGAAGAAGAAAAAAGAACAGTTTTTGCAGATGATAAAACCATCCTGCTAGCTGAATGTATACAAGTTATACAAGCTCTTTATTTTACCGAGAATTTCAAAAAACCCCGATATACAAAACAAAACCTAATAAATTATATGGACTTCCCCGTAACAAAACATATATTACATTAGTCTTCAAGGTTTTCCTTTCTTGTAAACTAGATGCATTCACTGTAAATGACCACGTCTTTGTTTTTAAGGAAAAACTATCATGCAAAGAAATAGCTAGCGATTCTTCCTCAAATGAGTAAGCAGTGGTGCAAAAATCCTATACATACTTACTTTTCTGTGCCATTGTTATAGAGAAATACCGAAACGCCAGACACTTTCCGAAACTGTATCTATGTAAACTTTCAGATTCTGCGTGTGTGTAGAGCTATGCTTCGGCACGAATGGGCTGGCTCGACCGGAGGGATGCCATGGTCTCACAGAAAACCTACGTGAATCAACCACAGATTTGTGTGTTACCGTTGGCCCAACCCTTCCCTATTCCGTCAATCTCCAAAGCCGAGTCTCCCAAAGGCCGATAACGCATTTGTAACTCCTATGTTATTTCAGGTATCCAAGGGCTGTGCTGATTGCTTACCATGAGGTAATCCCCCTTTTTTTTTTTTTTTTTTTTTTCGCAGGACTCCACTACGAGGCGCGCGCGGAACACGGCACCGCCGCCTCGAGGCCTGCTGCTGGTCGGACGACTAGACGCCCCGAGTCTGTCGTCCGCAGGCCGCGCCCTACGGTGGCCACAGGTCGGCCACTCTACGACGTCTAGTGCGTCTGCTGCGGGAGGGAAGAGAGGAGGCAGCCTCTCTCTCCCTTTCCGCCGCCTCCTTTGCGAGCATCACGGCCTCGCAAAAGATAGCGACGGCACTCCACCCTGACTCGCTCCCGACCATAGTAGACACTACAGCCGGAAGCGAGAGATTTCCCGCAGCACCTACGGCCGCGACCAGGTCACGGCGCTGCTCGGCCCAAGCTGGACATTCCACCAACGTATGCAGCGCCGTATCGTCGCGGCAATTACCACAATGGTGGCACTGAGACGTCGGCTCCCGACCTATGCGACACAGGTACTTCCCGAAACACCCGTGTCCGGTAAGCACCTGCGTCAGCCGGAAGCTGAGGGCGCCGTGGCTCCTATTGAGCCATGAGGTAATCCCCCTCGTTTGCCAACCTATAACTCCAAAACCTATAAAAAACAAGTAACTTATCACAGATACAATCTTTTATCTTTAGTCTGTATATGCTCAAAAAAAATCGAATTATTTTCTTACAAATTCTGGTTTTCAGGTGGTTGTTTTTTTCTGTTGTGAAGACACTACGTTATTGCCTGTGGGGACCACAGGCTCACGCAAAAAAGTCCTCTCCTTAACGGATCTGATGAAAAAACTGAATTCACGCTTAATTCTTGTGCATATCCACCTTGAATGGATACAGAATGAACAAGGCAACTTAAACAAGTAGCTACATAACCAAGGATGCATCACATTGTATGCGGCGCATAAAAATACAATAGAATAAAACGGAAAAAGAAATAAAACGGAAAAAGAAATAAAACGGATATGAATTTATATAACAATCGGTATGACTGCCACATTAGCGAGTAGGCCTACCTATAGAATTGTATTCATGTAACAATAATAAAAGGAATGACATTATTTTTCAAGCCATGTGTCTACATTTTAAACAATGTTATCGTTAATCAATACAAACGTTCAATATTCTTTTTAGTTATCAAATCCACGAAGCTTTATCACTGTGAATACCTGGCTAGCAGAGCTGAAAGAGTCATCAGCAGACCATAATATATGTATATGGGTCCCACTAGCACCCATGTCCAGCCACGGTTATAATACCGTGACCTCAACTCGAAATAGGAGAAGAAAAATTGAGGTTTTATTCAGTTTCGTTTTTATTTAGTTCACAGAAAGAGATTTTTTGGTAGAAACCATTTAAATTAAGTCAAACAAAATTATTTACTCATGAACAGCCCATAATGGATCACGGTTGAGCTTTAGGTAATTATTTATAGTTTTGTTTAAATCAGAACTATCTGTTTTTTGGTTAAAGACTAGGTACACACTAAACTTGCGTACTGCTCCTTAAAAACTTAAAAACAAATTGAGAAATATGTAGGTAAATACAATCATAAAATTAAATAATGACACGTTTGAAATCAAATACGTTTAATTGACTCTGTGGTTTATTTTAAACATAATGTTTATTTTCCTTATAATATTTTATACAGCAAATACTCATCTAATGATAAAATATTATGCTCGTAATTATTTTGTTGTAGCCAACAATAAATTGACAATATTGTACAAAGTGGAGGAAACATCTAGTCGAGCCGTCACTCCAAAACAATTAAGCATAGTTCTATACAAAGCAGTGAATAGCACCATAATACAAATGATTAGACACAATCACGTGACTCCGCGTTAAACCAAGTCCATCAAATCACTTACACTATCATTCAATCCCATACATCTCTGTTGAAACATAGAACACGCCCGTAGCGTTTCCAGGGTTGTTGTACCCTGCTATCGTCACCTGATTGGCTGCACATTTCCCTTCAGAATAATGGTCATAATTATCGCAAGCCCAAGCGAGAAAACCATTCTGTAAATGCACGGACATTGTGTAGTACCTCACGCAAGCTTTGTGACTGCACTTCGCAGCATCGCTCTCACCTTTGGCTGGTATCAAACCTTCATGGCAAGAAGGCTGCTTATGTCCCTTCTTATTAAAGAAGAAGTCAATATCTGCCAGTACAGCAGTAGTACCCAAGTCTCCAGCATTGCAATGATACACTTCTACGTATTGTCCGACTCCAGATCTGATCTGGTTTTCTATGAAACTGTTTGAGAAGCAAGGGCCTGCTGGATCTAAACCAGTCACTCGCCAGATTTTTTCTTTTGTCAATTCCGTGTATTTTGTCCCTGTGTAGCCAAGCATTTGACTACCCAAACTGTGGCCTATGCAGTGAATTTTATCTGAAGGGAACCCTTTGGCGCGTAGACCAGAGAGGAACGTTCCTAAGGCAGTTCCAATGTAGTAGGCGGATCTGACTGAGCGTTCATAGCTTGCGATTTTCCCTCCCTTACTTGACGTGTATGCGGAATGGTCTACTATGATCAAGTATATGTTTGGTACCGTACTGAAGGCTTGTCGAACCAGGTCTTCGGTATTCTTGCTGATGTGAGACTTGTAGCCTGGTACGAAAAAGACCAGTCTTCTAGAGATATCTAAGTTGTAGCTGGACGTAAGACCCTCGACAGCACTGTCGATTGGGAACGACAGATTAAAGTTGTTCTGGAAGTCGTAGAAGAATATTTGCGTTTCGCTCACTCCGAAGCCAAGGTTTTTGTCATGGTCACCTGGAAGAAAATAAAATCATTTGTTACTAAAGCCTTTGACTGTTGGCAGAAATCTGTTGGAGGCAAATCCTCACCGACAACGGTATGTCACCGATGACGTACTTATGTGGCGGTTAACGAAGCAATAAAATAAATGCCTACCTATATTAATAATTAAAACAGTCATAGACTAGTCTAATATATAGTTTACTGGGTACCTAGATATCGGATATCTTCATCAATTGCAATACTAACAAAATTCTATCCTCCTTATTAAGCCCTAATCTTCGTAGTTGATGAAGGGATCCGCATTTTATTGCAAAATATTTTCCTGCCTTTTGGTGGTCGCAGTTTTAGGAAAAATTTAGGTCCAGTTAATAATTATAATAAAGATGATACCTTTTGTCAGTGTGTTACTTATCGTCTCAAATTCTACCATTGGGGATATCTGACTACGCAAATTAAAGAACTTGACTGCACGGTTGGTGCGGTGGCTAGGCAACTGGCCGTCGCCGCCGTGCAACGTGTCGCGGGTTCGATTCCCGCACGGAACAACACTAAAAAAAAAGAAAAAAAAAGAAGGAAGGAAAATAGAAGCAATCAAAGTTATTTCCCTGTTTTTTTTTCTATTGGGGTTTACCTATTTAGTTTTATTGTGTACCTGTTAGTAATATAATAGGTATTAAATAGGTGTTAAGTTGTATTCATAAATATCTTCAAACTATCCAAAGTAATATTACAAATTAATGCAAAAGTAACTCTGTCTATCTGTCTGTCTTTTCTTCACGCCTAAACTACTGAATCTATTTGTTTGAAATTTGGCACAGACATAGTTTAGAACTCGAGAAAGGACATAAGATAGTTTTTCAACCAAAAATCTGCAGGAAGTCACTTTTCACGCGTTTCATTCGCGGTCAACATTTAGTTTAAGAATAACTTTAAATTAATTGTAATTATGTATTTTGACTAATTCAAATATAGGGACTGCGTTATGATTTAAAAAAATCTGATACCTTGCCGATATGAATGAATACTATGAATATAACGAACATTCTACAGAGTTCTATTTCCGTTAAATGCATCGTTGAGTACTAATATAATATGTACTTCTATAGTAAATAATTACCTACCTAATGCTACAAGAAAGGTCGTCATAAAGGAAACGGCGACCTGTGATTTTCTTTAATTACAAAATTATCAAAATAATACACATAATAAGGTAACTTCAAAACATGAATGTGCAATTGTTAAAGCTGTATTTATAGAATTCTTCAAAAGGTAAAAATTCAAAAATTTTCGGATCTCTAAAATTGTAAGTAGGTACCTCTAGCCATTTGCAGATTTAAGGAATTCTAAAATTAAAATTTAAAAATCACACTAGACAATATGTGTTATTACATTATTTAATGGATTTCCGTATTTTTTATAGGATAAGATGGACAGACGAATCTCCTGGTAATTTAGAACCAGCTCCGTCTACGGATACAGATAGCACTGTTTTATCTATACGTTTTTGGGGACTAAAAAAATCCACAGGGCAGTAAGAGCTATACCGAAAGTGATTGTTATTGCAACCTTTTCATTCCTAAAGGGATGAACCGTTTTAGGTAAAAATACTTAAAATACTTAGTAGTGAATAAATCTGGTTACAAACTCCTTAAAAGATAAATCGATTTGGATAAAAATACTTTATATTAGTAGTATTCACTACTAATCTGGTTACCTTTTGTTATTGGTTTTCAGGCACTAAAGGACTCCGGGGTTGCGGGTTAAGCGCAATGAGGCACCGCGACTTCGGCCTAGAGCAGGAGTAGGAACAGGGGGGTTTTTAGTCAGTAAGTCCTCCCGGGAGATGTCATTTGATGATTTTTCCCTCACAAAAAAGGCACTATAGGACTGATATTCCCTCTCACCTTTGGTACTCAGGGGAGGAGAAGTAATTGGTTGAATTTCCTACTTCGAAAAAGACCGTAACTGGAATCGGTAAATCTGAATCTTTTTTTCTATCTTGGTCTGACTTGTTATACGTCTATCCTAGGTTTATTAATTAAGTAAAAGTCGCGAATAATGAGAATTGATGAGAGATGAAATTATTTCAAATAATCTGTATCACTTTGATCGTCTGGCTACATTTGTTTATAAAACAAGGTTAAATTTAAACACAAAAATGTAATTAACAAGATAAATCACGCGACTCTGTTATCGAGGCCATACTTATAAACATAATATTAAAACGTAACTCGATTAAATTCGCACTTAGTACGTTGAACCTAAGGTCCAAATTAATATTTTGATCTTTAAAACTCTTGAAGTATTTACACTAAACTCTATAAGTTTAGTAGAGAAATCTGTAAACCAACTAGTTAAAAATGGCAATGCCATTTCAATAAGGTTAGATTAAGTAATCAATGTCAACTAGAAATCGCATTCACTGTGAATAATCTGAATAGAAACTTCCGTATACAACAAACATCACGAAAGAGACGAGAGAGAATAAATTTATAAACAGCTGATTAATAAATAAAGGTAAGTACTGATAACATTAAACTTTAAGAGTTATTTCGAATCGAAGGTAATCGACCTTAAAATAAAGACTCTATGTGTAAGACCACACAACGATCTTGAATATATAATTTATATAGACACACATAAAGATACACAAAATGATGTCACTCACATGTTATCCAATCGGAGTACAATAAGGCTCTAAAAGGCCCAGCACACCCACATACTAACACAGCACTTAAAACGAAACAAAATAAATAATTGTTCATCTTTATTAAGCCACGTCCGTGCGTGGCGATGGACAGACGACAAATGACACACGTGGGGAAATAAACGTACGAATCATGCGCGTGCGCCGCTTGTATGGGAAAACAATAACAAATGGATCATATCAATGTCGTACAGTCAAGCGCAAAATATTTTTACTGGCTAACTTTTTCAGATGATTTGCACAGTGTGTTGCTTGACGTCGTAATGAAGTATGTGTGTGTAGTAACCTAGTAACTCTGCTGAAGAAAAAGATTAATTTATAACTTTAATTAATCTTTTATATATTTATGATCCTTCTTTTTTTCCTCTTCGTGTTGTTTGCTTCAACGCTATTTTTTAAATGGCGAAAATCATCATGTTTGTTTCCCCACCTTTGGTGAGTCGACAGGGAGTGTCTACTTATGGACTAAACTAACTACCACTTTTATTTTCCTGCTTGACCCTCAACAACGGCTGAACATCAGCCCTGTTGGACCCCATCTCTAGTAGTCTATTAGCCCTTTCGCGTAATACACTCAGGTCTGGTTCTGGTCGGTCAGCGAGCGAGTTCAATGCTGAGGGTAGTGACCTTAACTAATCACTCGTCTCGTGGACTATCATTCGCTATCTTGTCGTATTTTGGCAGTGTGGATTGCAATACAAATGTGTGCAATGCATTTTAAGTGGTGCTAATCTGGTTTGTCCAGCATATGGGGCATTGGGACTTTTTTCATTTAGTTTGCAATCAACAGAAGTTTGCCCATCTATCTACCGATTTGTTCGCTTGCAAATAAGATACTGGAGCCTTTACCTGAGCAATTTAATACAAAAATAACAATAAAACATTAGTCATTTTTATGTACCTACCTAGAATTGATTCAATCGTGTTTTTATTTTTTTGTTATTTTACTTTTATTTCCCAGTTTTGTACCTTCTGTATCATTTGGATCTCATATCGGGGGAGTACTCCAAGAATTGTTTATCTTAGGAATTTGCGCGATATGTTTGATAAAGAATTTAGACCAGTTATCTCCTAATAAGATGAATCAACACTTTTATTTAGCATATGAGCACCTATGAGTAATATTGCGACTTTTGAAGGCCACTGAAATCAATATCGGCCATTGTTTTATGTTCTGATTTATGGCAACGATTTGTTTTTCCTGAATACTTAACTCGTGCAGGGTTGAGAAGTCACAGGTTGAAGAAGCCACACGTTCACCAAGGTATCACAGGTTCAGTTCTCGAGTACCTAAGGCAAAAATTTGGAAAAATTTACCGGTGACTATGCAGTTTAAGACGTGTGATATTTTGGTATATTGTACGAGTTGAAAGAGATGATGATCAAAAAACAATACAGAAACAAAACAACATAATTATACAAAATAACATGGTTCGTGAACATATTACTTCGAGTCTGCGTTACAATGGGCATCAGTTCAGCATGTGCAAGTGTCCATTATTTCAATCAATGACTTCTCTCGGCCTGGATGGAGCGAGAATTTTGTCCCTTCTGCTCCAAGCAAAGCCGCAGTAAATCATTGATGATAATAATGAGATTGAATTACCAATGGACATAGATATAAATAGGTAGACTAGAATTCGAACCATCTTTATCATAACGTATTGCATAAGCCAGTATATTGTACGGGGAGTTACCTATAAATGTCCATCTTGAACTCTATGTCAACCTCCATTAATTGACGTAATTACTAGTAAAACTCTGCTACAATGATTCTCAAAACGCACATGTTCTCTTATGTACCAAATAGTATACTAGGTACTTGTGTATCTACCTAACGTCATACTCATCTTGGAAAAAATCAACAAAAAATATATCTGAAGACGATTTCAGGATATTGCCAATTATTTAGAAATGGGATACAATCAAAATGAAAGTGGCGACAATTGCAGAAAAATAAGATGTTTTTCTTACTCTACTTCATGCAGTAAAAAAAAACATACGGATCGAAATGAGAATATCCTCCTTTTTGAAGTCTGTTAAAAATAGGTCATTTCAGAACATTTTTTTTATGTAATAGATCGGCAAACGAGCAGACGGATTACCTGATGGTAAGTAATCAGCGCCGCCCATGGACACCCGCAACGTAGGAGTTACGAGTGCGTTGCGACATTTTAGGGATTAGGGATTAGGGATTTGGAGATTTAGGTATTGAGGAGGGATTGGGGGTGGGGAAGGATTGGGCCTACGGTAACCTCACTCACACGGCGAAACACAACGTTGTTGTTGTTTCGGTACGCCGGTTTTCTGTGAGGCCGTGGTATCACTCCGGTCGAGCCGACCCATTCGTGCCGAAGCATGGCTCTCCCACACTTCAACATTCAATAATCAGCTGATAGCTTCGATTTGCAGCTGGAATTATGATGTCTATTAAACATCAGCCCGGAGTGGTTTAAATGGGCACCGTTACCTATTATTGGAAAAAATTACCTAGTAGGTAGGTAAGTAGGTAGGTATCCTGGTTAACAAAGCCTTTTAATATGAGAAGTTCCAACAAAAACCATAACATGATTGATAAAAAATACTTTAAAACAATCTGTAACTAAACTTTAACAAGCCAAGGTAAGCCAATTTAGATAGATTTTTATATGTATTTAGCTAACAATTAATGATGAGTAAATCGAAGGTAGGTATATGTAATTGTATTTATGTTATGCCATAAAAAACATTTATATCAATTTTGTCTTTCACCGTAAACATTAGATACAATTTCCCGCGTTCACTTCTAAATTCAAGTTAAAATCAAACCAAAGGATTCTCAACAGTGTTTCTTGTAAATTGAATTAGAACAAAGTTTGAGAGGAAAGTGAATTGTATTATTCCCATTAAGCGTGATCCTGGCTGAACAAAAAGGCGGAACAAGATCTCTGAAGTGTTAATTACCTCACCTTGGTTAGACATGGAAGTTTTTAATTGAGTCAAGTCGATCTTTCACTGTTAGGGCGGGTGCAAAATGAGATTGAAGTCGGTTTAGGAGTTGGCAGACATCTTTGTTTTCGCTTGCTCTATAAGCATTTTTATGACATTTGCAATACCAAAGATCGTCGAACGTTAACGTTATTACATCGCGTTTCCAATAACCTCAGTCACATGGCGAAACGCAAGTGTTTTGAAGCCGTGGAATCACTCCGGTTGAGCCGACCAATTCGTGCCGAAACATGGCTCTCCCATACTTAGACTTGTTTATTGAAAATAGTTTCAAGTCACAAAAAGACTCTAAAAGCAACGAGAATTATTAAAAAAAATTTAGCTTGTCTCACGACTGGTACTAAACAATATATAATATAGGTACCTGAGTAATTTTTATGCTTAATGGACCGGTCTTCTACTGTCATTCGGTGAGTAGGTACCTAGGTAGAGTTCTTAAATAATGCATAGTTTGGTAATAAAGCTTGTCGCCATATCAGAAATGTGTCCTGTGGCCGATTAAAATAACAACCTAACATATGTGTGTAGAAAGTGGTTTTCGGACGAAAAGGGGAAAGTATCTAATAGTTTAGCGTTTTTGACGGGATTCGATAGGAGAATTGGCATTGGGCGATCTGGTTGATGAGTACCAATGTTTGTACCAGTGTCAAAGATAGCTTTATATTATATCAATTTAAATAGTAAAACTAGATAGGTACCTAGGTTCTTACTTATTGAATGTAACGACTTACTCTAGTGAATTAACTGAGAATAAATCTACTATACTCGGACTTTTAATTCCATTCCAGATTTGACAATTTCAGTGTTGCAACGTTATGACACGTAATAAATAGTGACGTTGTGAAATTATTCGATGTGGAAATCGAATATTTCTGAATCGATTCCTCTCGTTTATAAATTTAATCTCGTAAACTAAGTTTAACAGGAAATAAAATATTTCTGATCCGATAATTTAGTTTTGACAATTAATTAACGATCTGAGACTTTTCTTTTGTAATTGTGTGTTAAATAAATAAAAAATGTGATCATGAAGGAACATGACAAATAAAACAGAAATTTTATAAATTGTCGCCGTCATCGCTATCGCTATCGCTGTTACTTTCTGTAACATTTATTATAAATTGTGTCTGTGATTTTTATTGTCAATTAACATATCTAGCTTACTCATTTTTTCCCCTATTTTGACAACATGGGATACGCATTTAGACCATTCGGTAGCCGTAATTTTTTGATGCCTTCCTGAAACTGATTCACTGATTGTTTATCGATTTTTGTGTTCATCACTACACTGTTATATGTGGTATCATTATTTCACAAAATGACAATAGGTCATGTCAAATCAGGAATCGAATTAAAATTCTAACTATAGTTCTAAACCACAACTGGACTCTTAACAAGTAAGCGAATTAAGCGTCGTAATGCGTCGTGTATGTGAAAAATTGTAAGTAGGTAGGTAGGTACTTATCATTTAAAGAATTGGCTAAGTTTTAGCAAGAAATGTGTTAATTATTATTTGATTGATTAATGTGAAAGAAAGTGCCTCCAACTAAGTCAGACACCGTGTCGTCACGGAGGGCCAATGTCACCCCTAAGGACTGGCAACGCAGTCGTAATACCCCTAGTATTTCGGTCGTTCATGGGCGGTGCTAATTGCTTCTCAGGTGAGTCTCGGGTGATCCATATGCTCCTTGCCCACCTAGACCATAAAAAATTGTAGAATTCCCTGAATCACGTTTTTATTACTACGTAGGACTCTTTACTGAGTAGGAAAAGCGTCTAAAACTGAATTAATTTTAAAATGGGAATCTACAATTTTGCCAATTACAAAAGAACAATTTCAAGGCTAAAATTAATAGTTCCCGTGACAGCGTCCCAATATCCGTCGTTAATCTGTCGGCCCGTGCTCCTCCCGCCGCGGCCTCGGCCGAATTGATAATAATTTGTCGATCCGAGTCCGCTCTTGGAGATAACTTTCAGAGCATCTGAACCACAGTTCTAGCAAATGTTTGTAACTGAAAACTGCTATTACCTTTTAACTTCAGAACTAATTTTTTTGTGTTAAATAGGTACCTAGTAAAATATAGATAAGCCATCCAGCTATTAGTCTATTAGCCTGTAGACATCTGAGCATCCTGAAATCACAAGCGTGTCAAAACTGTGTTATAAGCAAAATAAAAAAATGCTTCTTGCTATTCTTCATCAAAAAGGGCTTAGTTTTACGTGTTTCCAATTTGGTATGAATTTATTTCAAAACTATAAGTACCTAAATAAAATAGCCTTTCCCAATTCCCAAACGCACCTTCTATTTAATATTTTGCGCAAAAAAAATCAAGCGAAGCTTCCACAAATCTCATAATGTTCCTTATGACAGGCTCACAGTATCTGATGGACCAAGCTAATTGCCCCGAGATCCGACGCGTAATGTTCCACAGATTATGTCGTACGCTTTATTTCCTTCAGATGACATCCAAACGTAATGGCCGCCGCGTTTCCCTAACATCTTTTTTTAACCTTCCATCTTTAAAACAAATGTCACTTTATTTTAGCGGGAAAAATGTCGCCAAGATCATTTTGTTTGATAAATCTGGGAGAGTTACCTCATTTTTGTGCGTTCATACATACCTACAAGAATTTTTTGGACATCCATTCTACCTTCAATTTTTTTAATGTCGGTAAATCATTAAATGGCTTCTCCCGCTCTTTGTGGGGCAAGAAGGAATGTCACCCTTATGCTTGGGTTACACTAACGGGAAATGCCATTCATTATTGCGGTAATTGACGTTAATCGTAGGTATAATTTGATTAAACAAATGATTTAAGGTGGCATCGAAACTCGTCAAGAAGCCTTAAACTATTATAAATTCCCATTAGTATTGCCCCAGCGTTACTTACTGATTAAAAACTAAAACTAGGTACCTGTAACTTCTCCTGGTCCAAGCAGAAGCAGTATAAATATTATTAGATACGTTTGCGCCCTAACCCCAGCTCGTCATCGACCCTAGTGATGGTGTCCTGACGGTATTTATAATAAAATACCCAAATCCATTCAGCAGCTTCCCTTAAATAAATTTAAATTACAATTAAAGAAATTTCTTATTAGCAAATGTTTTTATAATCTGAAGGAATACTTAATTGATGCCTAACACTATGACGTTTCGGTTCAAATAGAACAAAATTTTGTACGCCTATCCTAGGCAAAACATGTAAGGGTCTGATTATTATTATTTTTTACACCTTATGTTGCAATTATTTGCTTTGTACACATACACCCATGTTTTACAAAATAAATTATCTTTTATCTTTTATCTGTGGTCGTTTAAACCCTTGCTTGTAGTTCGCAGACCCGCAATTCTACTAAGGGTTCACATAGCTTTCCAATACATAGTGGTCAAGTAACATGTACATTTTTTTTCTTTCATTACACTAAAGCACTTTGCTACGAAGCCAGCACCAATAAAAGTAGGGACTACTGCATTCTCCTTACTTAATTTTGTCAGTTATAAACGACTAGGTACAAAAGAAAAAAAGATCAGTTATTTTTTAAAACATTTATTTCAATTATTAAATCCATTTTCGATACAGACACTGAACACTGACTTGACATGAAACATAAAAATAAATAAGTAGGTAACTAAAAGGTTGAACATACATTTCTCTGTTTTTGAGAAAGTACTCAAGTGTAAGTAAATGCTTATTTATTATTATATTTACTTGAGTTTCAGAACAATATAAGTTCCTATAATAAGTTTATACGTTTGTATAATCATTAAATCTCTCTAAGTATCTATGGCAGTAAGTTTCTATGTATATTGTATTGCATAGGTATATGGTAATGTATATCAAATAGATAATGACAAAGAAAATGTCGTGTTACATCACGTGTTTGTAGCCAAATCTCTGGAAAGTGTCCTTGGACTTTTACCTTTTTTCTATTCACAGTAGCATTATTAGGAGGAAATTCAATCTAGAAGGGGTTTTGTTATGTAAGATACCCTTCTAAAATCATTTACACTAAACAGTCAATACATAACACGAATATACCTATCTATATCTATATTTTTTATATTTCAAGAGAGTTTATAAATAAATATCTATAATAATGATGACCTCGACATCATAACACTAACTTAACGTTCAAATATATAATTTGAATACATATTAATACACAAATAATTATTTTAATAATGTTATAAAAGATACCTATAAAACTGCCGTCATCGCCACAAAGTTGCCGTTTAGAAACGGCAAACACCATTTTCGTTTTCATCCATTTTCAATTTAATCACATAAGATGCAAGTGTTGTCAGTCTTTCCCATACAATAACATACAAATCATAACTATAATATAATATATAATACGACATTTAAGTATGTTTACGGTATACTCATGTAGGCCCCGGCGAAGCTAGTCTAACGCCCTCGAGAAACAATTAGGTGGTTTCCTAGGTAAAAAACAAATTAATTCGACATATTTTGAATATAATAAAATATTGAAAAATAACAACACTTTTATTCATCGATCTATGGATACACTAAATTTTCCATATTTTTTAGCTTATTTCTAAGAAATAAGTAAGCTATTTAACCCAAAAACACTATGACGTCGTAATTTTGAGCTTCATACTTTCATAGAAAAGTATCGTTTATGATATTTGGTTAAAATATTAAATTTGACTTGTTGGAAACTACCGTGTACACAACACGGTACTTAGCCGTCAAACTAAACTAATTGATGATTTTACCCCTTCAAAAAAACTGCTACGCTGCTCATCATGTAATTTGGTATGCAGCAAACGTTTTTATATGGGGCAAACAAGCTGACCTATCATCTGAGGGTAAGCAATCAACGCCGCCCGCAACACCACGGATTTTGAGTGTTTCCTGCCTTTTGGCGGTACCTAAGGGGTTTGAGGATCAGTAGCTGCAGAAATAGTATCCATTTTGGTTGCTAAGCCTTTCCTCCAGTGCTTACAAATGATTTAGCTTTGATAAAACAATAATTTATTTCTGTGTACTAGAGAAATCTTTATTTACTTACTTGCATATCAAACTACTTTGTTGACTATAAAACTATATATGAGTAATTTTAATTAACCCATTAAAGCTTTAGTTTCGTCTCGTTTTTACAAATAATAATTGACTATGAAAGAAAGGGATAAAACATTCTATAGCTAAATCAATTTTATTATTAATAGGAAAAGCAAATGAAATTTTTGGTATAGTTATTAGTTTGCAAATCTTAGGAGAATAAAGGTCGATAATGTACATTTAAAGTAACGTATTAAAGCCGAATGTTTTATTCGATATTCAAAAATGGCGCTTTGAAAGAATAAAGTCTAGTTAGCATAACTAATGTCGAAATAAACGTGTGTTTACAATAAAATCTCTTATTTGGCTTGTTATACAAAATGGTGTACAAGACTTAACTCTCCACCAGCGCCATCTACCGGTGACAAATTTTATAGCCTCCTCTTCACCTTACAAAGGCTTGACGCCAGCTTCGCAAACGACTCTCTCGTCGGCAATTCTGCAGAGTCGAGAGACCTTCGTGATCAGAGGTTCGATGTACGAGTGTATCCATTCATCCGTACTCCGTTCTCCAGTTATACGGAGAAGAGAATTTGTTAGGTCTGCTTTCAGTACTACGAGCTCGCCTAGTATGCTGGAAGGAAAGTTTATGAGGATTAATGGATGTGTAAGTAGGATTTTGTCATGTTTTCTTTACTTAACCTTTCAATCATGATAATAAAATACACAATAGAAGAATAATAATAACGCCGGCGTTCGCTTGGGGTTTGATGAATTAAGGAGCCAAAGATACAGGTGTGGTCTATTTATACTAGTAACTAAGGGATATTTCTCGACTTATTGAAAAATTTCTATAGGTAATAATTTGTCTCTCCCGAGAAATAGAATGAAAACAATTTACTAGGCTCTCTGAGGCAGATTTATGTCTATATATATAATTCCGCTGGTATGTATATGTTTATGGAGCCCAACAACAAATTAGAAATAAAAAATAAACTGTGTGCGAGTTTTTTTTACATAGGTTTACGCTGTGGTTCAAAGCATCGAATATCAGAAATTAATCGAACGCATTACTGGACAAAAACTTGCACTAGGCGCTTGGTTTATATTAAGATATGAAAAGGTACTTAAATTTGACCATGTTAACTATGATACTAAATTTATGTTTTTTCTAATGTTCGAAGGTTTTACTTTGATTGACACCATTATAACCCCTATCGATGTAACAATGTAATATAAGTATGATCTTCTGAAACACTTACTGATGTGCAGTAATCCTGATACCCTCGACGTGCACTGGGACGGTGTACCTGCGAGCTATCTGCCACGGATTCAGCCAGGTACGAACCCTGCAATACAAGTTATTTCATAAATAAATTTACTCTAATTTTTTTTAATCGTTGCCCCGTATTTGTGTTTTCTCTTATGTCGTGGGTGCGGTTACAAACGTACAATTTCACATACACATGACACCCAGACTTGGAACAACAATTTGTGGATCACACAAAGAGTTGTTTCGTGCGGGAATCGAACCCGCGACACGTTGCACGGCAGCCAGTTGCCCAGCCACAGCACCAACCGTGCAATCAAACTCTAATTGACATACACATGAGATAAAACATCTTTAATATTACCATTAACACCATATTTAATATGACAGCACCTACGCGCAACTAGACTAGTTCAGACGCAGTATTCAATTTCCCGGACTTAACAAATCTTTGTGTTCCGAAACTTGTTATTCCGGGTCTGGGTGTGGTGTGTATATGAAATTGGGTGTTTATAAAAGCACCCACGACACTGGAGAAAAATCATCGTGTGGGGCAATGTAGTTTTTAAAAGAAAATATAATGGCATACTTGACGCGGTGGCTGGGCAAACAGGTGCCATGGAATGGGTATTCAGTCCGATTCCCACACGGAACAACTCTTTGTGTGTTCCGGATCTGGATGATATGTATTTTTATAAACGCATCCACGAGACAAGAGAAACACAGACGAGCAAAGGCTTTTTCTCAAACGGAGAAGATTTGAGCATTTATCACCAAGCTTGCTCAATTTGCGAATTTATTCATTAGAAATTATAAATCCAGCTTCACAATATTTAACCTTATATCAGTGGTGTTAATCAACTCAGAAAGTTACTCAGAAACTCGCTTTTCTGGAACTCTGCCATCCAACTTATGCGTCGTAACTACTAGGCCACCACGACATATCTTAAACCTACATTATACTTACTATACTATACTTACATTTCGCTCGTCAGGAGTCCGATGGTCCGTTCCCTTAGAATGACAAAAGTGTGAATACTCCTCGCCACTTCCTCGCCCGGCCACTCATAGGACGGCAGTATATCTTCACATAGTGCATGTTCTGAAAACGTTACCTATATTTGTAATACATTCAATTGAAACAGATTTGACTATAAATTGATTCTTCTATTTTTTGTTTAGAGCTAATTGTGGGAGAGCCGTGCTTCGGCACGAATGGTTCGGCTCGACCGGAGTGATACCACAGCCCTACAAAAAACCGACCTAAAATATCAAATAATTAACAAAAGAAAATAAATTTTCTTTGTATGAATAAAACAGATATTGCAATGAAGAAAAAATTAAACTATCACTGATATGACGGAATATTCAAGACATCATTGATCGAAGCTCAAAGTTTGTTCCAAATAAAAAAATCAGCCATTTTTTAAATACATGTAAAAACAACCTAGCGTCTCATTGCCTTTTAATTTTTGGGAAGGAAGGAGGAGGTTCTTTTGTAAGAGTGTGTCACTTCCTCTCACCTATCACCCTGGGAGAAAGAAGTCATTTGATGTACCCTCACAAAAAAAGTAGCTATCTAGTTAAACTGTAACAAAAACCTTAATATTTCATTTGTTGGACCGCACCATAGTTACGAACCTGGTTAAGAACATACAACCAGAATTTAAAACCATATATATTTTCGCTTAGCTAATCTACCTTATAACTTTAAAGACACAAAAGAAAAAAGCATACGAGGAGATAGCGATTGAAAAAAACGAATTAAAAGCAATTATACAGGGTGTAAAAAGACACTTAACGAAGCCGTTAACTACGCATACTGCAGTTCTAACTAAGTAGCTTTACGCTAAAATGATCACTGGGAAACGACTTTTAGGTATCAGAAAAATAATAATTTTATTGCGCGCAATGTAAAGCAAACGGGCTTCGTGTCATTGTGTGCGTAGGTTCACAGCATTAAAACGCTGTGATAAGTACATAGGTCGACGTTTTACTTCGCAACAACAAAACAATTCTGTAAAATAAAAATCCTACTGAGATGCACGATGTTTTTTGTGCGGGTCTGCATTTATTTATTACGTATATTACTGTTCGTAACTTCAAATGCGTAATTTATTTACAAAAATCGAAAATTCAGGTAATATTTGTTTGGAAAAAAGTTTTGTAATAATACTTTGAATTCGATTGCGCAAAAAAAATCAAAATTAAAAATGCATCTTTGACCTTCAATATCTCGAGAACGAGTGGAGTCCCAGCTATGGTCTTAAAGAAAAAAATGATCCAAATAATGGCAAGAATACGTGGCTTTCGGCTTCGTTAAGTGTCTTTTACACCCTGTATATCATGACAATTACCCATGGGAACGTCGTCATCTCTAAGGAGGACCTTCAGGCAACTCGCAAGACTTGGCAACGCTACGGGCAGGAGCTCGCACAGAGTGGCGTAGTGATCATATCTGTTAACAAAACATTAATTCATACACATAATGTCACAACACGAATCACGACTTTACAGCCTTGCTGCTTTTTATTTGTCAAGGGAAAGTCATCAAATGACTTCTCCCGCACTGGGTAACGCGAGAGTGTCAGACTCTAACTGACTAAACCTCCCTCCCCCTCTCTTCCTTCTCCTGCTATGGGCAAGGGCAATAATGTACCACGACTACAGGCAAAGAGCAGAAGGGACCAGGTGGTTTTCAGTCAGTATGAGACTGACACCTGGTGTGGGAGAGCCATGCTTCGGCACGAAGGGGTCATGATGCCACGGCCTCACAGTAAACCGGCGTGACACAACCACAGCGTTGTGTTTCGCCGTGTGAGTGAGGTTACCGGAGGCCCAATCCTTCCCCTCCCTCATAAAAATCTCGTGATTGTTTCACACAAATCGATACAGTTAATATCTTGTAATAAAAGGTAGGCAAAAATAAAACGAAAATGATTAATACTTCTCATGGATTTATAACCTAACTAATGACTCAGTTATTCATTCCTTATAATATTTATATTTAACAGGTTTTCACAAAAAAAAACTTTTAATTAAAAATAAACTTTTACAACTTTTAAATCTAAAATGTGTGTCCTTTAGTCGAGAAGAAATAAACTCCTTTCGCTGTACCAGGATTCCAGAAATCCGCAATAGTTTTTCGGTTAGAAACGCAACCCCATTGTTTGAACATTTTGTACTTGTCACAGTTCCTAGCCGGGAACCAATTGCGATGGGCAACTGACGCCATCCACATTGACACACAAATGTTGTGGCTACATATGTTTGAAATCATGGAAGACTTGCATTGAGGTTGGTCACTTCCTTTATTCACGAAGAAGTCTATATCACCAAGCACGCTCTTCGTACCTAAAGCACCGTCATCACAGTGATATACTTCAACATACTCCGCGACACCAGCCCTGACCTGTTCTCCCTTCGGAATGTTTGAGAAACAAGGACCGGCTGGGTCTAAAGCCGTGATCCTTGCGATCTTCTTACCAGTCATTTTGAGGAAATTGTGCCCAACATGGCCCAGTATTTGGCTTCCCAAGCTGTGGCCGATGGCGTGGATATGTTTAGCGCTAATTACTCCTTTATTGAGTTGAGCCAACATTTTTGCCAATTGTACCCCAATGGAGTAAACGTATTTAACGGATCTTTTATAGCTCTTTTTCAGTCCGTCAAATTTGTTGGTGTAAGCTGAATGGTCGACGAGAATTAGGTAACTATTGGGGACGGTTTTAAAAGTTTTCCGGACTAAGTTTGTGATTGTTTGGTTCATGTACGTTGCGAATCCATGGACAAACATGTAGATTTTTTTGTTTTTATCAAGTTTGTCGAAGGAGAGTATGCCTTTCGCAGCATTGTTTATAGGAAAGACTTTGTTGTTGCCTCTATGGAAGTCGTAAAAATAGACGTCGATTTTATTAGCGTCAAGGGTCACGTATCTAGCCGGGCCTGTGTAAGAGAAAATTAAATTTTATTATAAATAATTTCTAATCATTTTATTGAAAATAATTTCTAAGGAAAATTACAATCCAAAATATTAAAAATGAAAAAAATGTATTATTACATTTAAAAGTTTGTACAACAATAGTGAGGTTGACCTCTCCTTTTAAGTGTGAAAACACCTGTGCTAGGAGAGGCCGCTCTCCCTTATCTTGGTTACATCTATGTAACATTAAGAACTTATACTGATGTTTTAACTTTAAACAATTTAATTGACAATATAATTACAATAAGTACTTACAATTCACAAAATGTTTCAACGCCATACCCACGGGTCCTCCACCGCTGATATGAGTGATTCCATTCAAACAAATGAAAGAAAATAAATAAAAACTTAACAATCGCATTTTGTTTTTTTAATGATTTTATATTTGACTATTTTTAATAAACTTTTACTCAAAAAAAAAATGGTCGCGGTTACCAATGATGTAGGACCGCCTTATGTGGTGGCTCCTTTTAAACTTATTTTTATAATGTGAACAATTAAACATAGTTCTGCCTTATATGCATAATTGCAAATCTAAGCTCTAATTCACTACTCAATGGTTATTTTTATACATTTTCCTCATTTAGGTAAGTTTATTGCGTAAATGATGCGGTTAGTGTTTACTTTAAATTGTTATTTATAATTTTCATAAACAAAAGTATCAACATTCATAACAAAGAAGTAAAAAACTGTATGTATGTACATTCATTATCGTTTTTATTATAACGATATTAGAGATCATATGGAAAGATTATTAGTGAAAAAAGCTTGTTTTGTTTGCCGCTTTGCGCATGCTAATCTCCGAAACGAATGGACGGATTTGGATGATACTTGTTTTCTTGTATAGCTATTAAGTCTAGGCAACATACAGGGTATTCTTTATTATTCTATTTATATAAATCCATATTCTACGCGAGCAAAGTTGGAGACAGAACTTAGTATACATATAAGACGGGAGAGGTGATTTGATGATTTTCCCCTGACAAAAAAAGTATACATATACCTAAGAACGTAAAAGTATGTTTGCTCATATGTATTAGTCATGCACTCATGACTTACGTAGTTGCGAAATATCGAACTAGCATTACATGGACGTAAGTAACACAAAACAACACAACAAGATATTTACTTAATAATACACATCAACAGGAAAATATAAATGTATTCTTACTTAAAAACAAAATAAATCACACTTAATTTATAAACGTAATAAAAGGATTGTTTATAGATCCAGCTGTACTCAACGTTTCCTGCGCAGAGCCCTTCTTATGAGGTGAAAATCGCTGGTCGCTGACCAACAATAAAAACATACAAATTCACATACACAAGCCACCCAAACCCGAAACGAATATTATTATTTATAATAAGTTTACTTTGAGTTTCTTTTTTTATGGGATAAGCAAACGGCAAACGAGCAGATGGGTTACGTGATGGTAAGCAATCAGCGCGGCCCTTTGGAATAAGGATTGCGAATATTTACCTAAGGATCGGGAAGAGTTAGGGGAGGGGGAGGGATTGAGCCTCCGGAAACCTTACTCACACGGCAAAACACAACGCTATTTTGATATTTCATGCCGGTTTTTTGCGAAAACCGTGTTATTGACGCTACCAGGGGCCCAATCTATCTACTTCTCCTCATCCTCAATCCTCATATCCCTTATACCCTATCCTTAAATCCTTAATAACCTACAATAGTCCGGCAACGCACTTGTAGTAACTACTTTGATATAACGAGAATGTCCATGGGCGGCGCTGATTGCTTACCATCAGGTAATCCAGCATCTCGTTTGGCTACCTATGCCATAAAAATATGAATGCACATAGTATTCTATAAAACGGTTACAGCACAAAAAAGCAACATTATTCCTACCTGGACCAGCCGGTGAGGATGATTCCAATGAAATTGACTTGTTCATTTTCCTTCATATGAGAGAGCCATGCTTCGTGGTTGCTCACATAGCGGGCCGCCGGTGATAGTACCTGCAATATTAATTAAATAAATGAAGATTATTGATGTTTTTCAATAGTAATTATAGTGAGGTATTCTTAATTTATTGAAAACTACCTATTCTCGCGCGGTTTCACCCGCTGCTCGGTTCCATTTGATCGTAGCGTGCCTTAGCACTTAGGAACGTTGTAGCTACCTATCAGTAACAGAATATTGGCAATCTGATCAGCGGTTCTAAAGATTACCCCCTACATACAAGCTTACAAATTTTACCTCTTTATAATATTAAGTACTAGCTATTCCCGCGCGGTTTCACTCGCTGCTCGACTCTATTTAATCGTAGCGTGATGTTTTATAGCCTCAGGAACATTGTAGCTACCTATCAGTGAAAGAAATTTGGCAATCTGAGCAGCGGCTCTAAAGATTACCCCCTACATACAAGCTTACAAATTTTACCTCCTTATAATATTAAGTATAGATTTACCTGGCAGCTTCCATTAGCACCTTTGAAGGCAGACCCAACAAAGACCTTTGGGAAGAGTTGTGTGTAGATATTGAACATTTCCTTGGTAAGGCCGAAGCACTCCATCGTGCTGTAATGCCATATCACAGGTATGGCCAGATCTCCTATGGCGTATTCTGAAATTCATTACCGTTTTATTTGAATAACGTATATTAAAATTACCTATGTGAGTGCGACAGACGGTTTTTCCGCAACAAAAGAGGAGTTGCATATGCGTTATAGGCATTTTGAGTATGGGGGTTCTGGGGATTTAGGGATTGAGGGGTTCGCGTGACGATCTTCCGCCACCGTAAGCGCGGATCTGCGAAAAGAGAGGCTAACCCGCCAGACTCAGGCCCGAGCGTATGCGAGTTTAGTTAGACAGAGTTTCACATCATAGAGCAAACGGCAAAAATATAGTTTTGTTCAGATTAACTACAACGTTATCATAGTGGATGGGCAAAAGGTTGCCGCGTAACGCGCCGCATTTAAAAATGCCACACGGAACAACGCTTTATGTGATCCAAAATTGTAAGGAATATCTGAATTTGTATGTTTTTGTAAACACATTTACGACATAGGAGAAAAGTAGTGTGGGGTAAAAATTTATAAAATAGAGGAAAATATATTCTTTCTTTCATTTGCATACCTTTCAAGGTCTCAACATCCATGGGTCTCAGCATGTCGTCCCACATCAGCACGGAAATGTTTGGCCTTCGACTCTTCACATGAAGGACCACTCGCTTCACGTGTTCCAAGTATAACTTGGCTTTGGTCATCTTGTCCTCCCCTAGTTTCGCTTGGCAATCCCCACAGATACCTGCGTGCCAGACCTGGGAAAAAGTTTCATGATATTGTTAATAATATTTTAGAACTAATAATAATATTCCACAACTAATTCTCAATGCCTGTACGCATATTTTTTTTTATGTGTTTGGACTGCAAACAAGCGCTCGGATTACCTATTGGTCCAATGGTTGGCAACACCAAAGGAGTTACGGGTCTTTGCCGGCCTTTTAGGAATTTGGGATTTAGGGTTCTTTCTAGTTAGAAATAGAAAGACCATAGAAATATATATTTTTCGTTATTTTTTTTAATATTGAATAGTTGTTACTATCTACATAACTAGGTCTTTCAACCGACTTTGCGCCCACTCTACTCTAACTCTGTCCTTCTCTATCCTAAAGTAGTCTACTCTAGTGTTTGTCTTTAAGGGGAAAAATTCATTAAATGATATCTCCCGCCAAAGAATAGTAAGAGGGAGTGTCAAACTCTTACTGACTAAAAACCTCCCCATTCCTTCTCCTGCTCCGAGCTGAGGCCATGGCACATTTTTGTCTTGTTTGCCTCCTATCCCATAGAATAAGGGTAACCTTTATCCAATTTACCTCATCAGCACCAATATGGAAGAAGGTAGCGTCAGGCTGAACCTCCAACGCCTGGTCCACCATAGCCATGACCAGCTGCAAAGACCTCAGCTTAGTAGGACACATCACTGCTGGGGCCTGCTCTATCTCCCGCAGGTCACGAAACGCAGGATGCTTCAGAACAAACTCCATATGACCAAATGTTTGTACCAGTTGTATCTGGAAATAAATTACATAAAATTACCATTGCACGACCAGTAACAAGTAGGTAAAAAAACGACGATAATGTAGCGACATCTACCGCACAACACGCAGCAACAGCACCAAAGACGTCGGGGTCACCAGTTAAGGGAACAGAGAGTATAGTTCGTCGTCTAATTACAATGTATATTTCATACATATGTATAAACTAAAAAGAAACGGACCCAATATCAAACCCTGTGGGACGCCTATTCTCATCTAGAGGCCTATGAGTTAGAAAGGTTTAACTTTTGATTCTCTATATACTATTTGATTTAATTACATCAAAAGGGTCTCCTGATCAACACTATCAAAGTCTTTTGTGATATTGTAAAAGATATTTCCTTCATTAAAGTGATACACTGGTAAGACTTGGTTTTAAAAAAACATAATGGTACCTACAGGTTCCATTCCCAATTCTTTGATGAAAGCCAACAAATGTTTGACTTCCGCTAAGCTGTACAGATTATCACCTCCTGCATTCTTCACACTGCCGATTTCAACCAGTTCCCCCATATACGGGAAGGTATCCTCCCATTCTAGCAGGATTCCTGTTACGCCCCATGACTTGATTACTTTAAACACCTGAAAATATTATAAGATTGTTTTGAAAAAACATACATACTGTGCACCATCAAAAACACTAATAACATTGAAAATAAATAAAATTATATTTATTGTGAAAACCTCGAATTCTAAAAAATGTTGATTACTGAAGGTGTATGGTAGCTCGTAGATTAAGATACTTGTTTCTCATTGATTAGGAAAGAGTGTCTTATTAATGAGATCATGAGTGTGGGTATAAAACCTAAAAATAAAAATGCCAGTTTTTCCGAATTATGTATTGATGTAATATACTTTTTAATAACTAAGATAGCAGTGTCATTACAATGAAGAAAAACATCGAGAAATAACTGGACTTATAATTTACAATCCTTTCCTTGAGGCCTTCACTCAGCTGTTAGTTGGCACGTACAGACTGATAAAAATAGCAATGATGAGATTGTATCATTTTAGATAAATGGAAAGTCCTCTACTTGTAATCGGTTGTATATACCAGTTGAAAGTATCTATTTGGTATCAAATAAGAAATAAATATTAGTTAATATAAGAAATACCTTTTCCAAATAATCAACCTTCAATGGAGCACCTTTAAAATCCAGATGCACTATTCTAGAACAATAAAATCAAAGCTTATAACTAATTGTCGCACTAAGAGATGTTTAATGGTTACAGTACTTAAATAGTTCTTTAGTAAGTAACAATTTTATTATGAAACAATTGACTGCCAATAGATAACTGCTTAGGACAAATCCTCCATACATGTAGTCTCCGATGGCATCCAATGAGTCAGAGAATTGGTTAAGTAACCATTTATGCATGGTGTTCTGGAACACAGATCTAAGCAAGAGCCAATATATTTCCTACTTATTTGTACATACTGGCAGATAAAAAGTTAAATGCCTGGGTATACCATGGTGAAGAGAAACAATGAAACATTTATGAATGTAAATTGGCCATGAAACAGTTTTTTTACACATCAACCTTATATAAAGTAGATCAGAAACAATGACATGCAATTGTTTAAAAATTGTTGCTAGAGAATAGACTTTATTTGTAGAGACTTACTACTTACTGACTATTATTTTAATGAATAAAATTATACTTCGTGTGTTTTTACTATATTTTATTGACATGTCCGCCTACCATTCAGAGAAATTGTACAGTTAATGAATTCAAGATCAAACTGTACCTATTGTTTTTATTGCATTGTTAAAATAACTACTTATATGTATATCATGCCCTTAAAAATGAGCAACACACCATGACCAACTTAATAGATACAATCAGCAACTAAATTCTATTATTCCTACTTTTTGTAAATTTAATTTTCTTTGCTATATCTGAATATAGGTAAAGAATTTTCATAACAATTCTCGTATAAAAACAGCATATCAAACTAATAATATTGAAACTTTTATACTGAAATAGGTATATGAAGAGCAAGTTAATTAATTGTTAAATTTTAATGTCCAATGGCAAAATTCCTTCAAAAACATAAATGAAATAGGTACTTACTTTTGCATTTTGAATTTGGAATTATTCACACTTTGTTCAAATCTTTTGTTTGTTTTGATTTCTTATCATTCTTATTGTCAGTTCCCTCTTATCAAAAACACATGAAAGGTTATGTTAATATTTTCTATAATATATTGAAAGAAATATAATTTTATTTAAATGCACTCTAAGGGAGAAAGATCACTCTATCACTATCAAGTATGTAGGTATGCATTTTATTGATTTCCTGTCTGCATGTAAGAAATTAAAATTAAAGAGACCGGTATAGACAATTTGACATTTCCTCTACTGAATGTTGCCAATTCACAAACAAAAACTCCCATTTTAACGGGAGAAAAGATAAGTAAAAAATAGTAGCTAAAAGTTTTTGTTTAGTATGTTTCTTATTTATAATACTGATTATTGAACACATACATGAACAAGGAAGTAATTTAACGATGTTCTTAAGTAGAATTATAAAGTTTTAACTCACATAATTTTAATTTTAATCGTTTTTTGTCATCAACACCATAATTGTAGTTAAATGGCATTCACTTTAGTTTTTTGCCTCATTTTGTCGTGTAGCACAAACGCCATTACCAAGCAAAAGTTTTCAGATTAATTCAGGGAATATTCAGTCATTTCGATCCTTTGCAAAAATCTTGATTGATCAGTGACCATGTAGTTTTGTATCGAACACTAAGGAAGGTATGGCAAAAAAGGTAAGTTTTATATAAGTGAGCTGTTATATAGAAGAAGAACTCACTGACTGGTCTTGAATAAAACGGCTGCTTATAAAGTTAAAAAGAAATTTGTTTAGGTATTTATAGTAGTAGTTTGAATAACTTAGGATTGGGTTTGTAGAGGATGAGTATAAATAAAATCAAAACATTATGAAATAGCAAATTTATTTTTAAATAACTCATACATGTTACATACGTAGGAGGATTTTAAATCTAAATAAGTAGACAAACTTATATGCTAAAATACTTTCAAAAATTTTAAAAAATGTAAAATCAATATTACCATGATCTGAGTTACAAAATGGCAAGTAGGTACATAATCAGACGCAAATATCAGACACTCAAAATAACTTTATTAAGCTTGTATATTTATAAAATTACTGTATATTTTCTAAACTATCTAAACTATAAAATTTGTTATAAAAACACGTCTTCTAAGGGTCTTTTAAAAACCTGTAACATTAAACTATTTTCTGGGATACGTACAAAAATCAAAGGCGACTTTTAAGTCGGCTCGTACATTATTTAGTTTGTTTACTTAATAAGATACTACGTAATGACACATAGGTAATATTATTATTAAAATACATACGAGTATGTCTTTAGTAGATTTATTTAAGCAAACAAACAAATAAATAACTTAATCGAGTATATTAGGGACTGTGTTAATAGGATTATACACCTTAGTTATAAAACTACAAAAACAAAAGTGTACAATTTCATTGATGTCTAAATACTTTATTTTATTTGAAACACAACGTTACTGAGGTTATTTAGAAAAGTTATTTAGTTGCAAAAGTTCAATCTCTTGTGACAGAACATTCTCAAAAGATTTTACGATAGTGTTCGTCGTTACGATTGCATTACTTTATTTGTAAACAAATAATGACATCGCAATAGTAGATACTTATAAAAATCATAAATAAATAATTAAAATACCATTTGTATATTAATCAATCAATAAAAAAACATTATTATTAAAAAAGCGACTTTCGAAAATCGAAGTCGATAAAAATGTAACTAAAAATGTTTAAGTAATTAGGTATCATCGATAAGCATTTTGAGCCAGGATTTTTGTCACAATACTTTTTATCAAGAACTTCTTCATGGATGATTTAATGGGCGATGATGATTTTCACTCCTGGATCAGGTTCTCCAGCAACATCTTTAGCCAGAGGTGCGTTACCACAAATACGGAAGTTCTCGGTGTAAGGTATAACGCCCACCAAGAAACCAGATATTATGACCCACAGGCCAGCGACGTAAAAAGCTGCGTCCCAATGTCCAGTGACATCTCTTAGAGCACCTGTAATAAAATGAAAAACCCAATATAATCGATTCGTTGTTGCCCTTTAAGTCAGTAAACTATAAATAATTGGTAAAATGGCCTTTCAATAATAAACATAGGCTAAGCATAATAACTAAGTACTTCAATGTCAACAAGTTCTATTCTTTTCATGTGCCCTTTTATTTTATACAAACTAAAGATGTCCTCAAGGCATTTACTCTGTATTTAGTCTGGAAAGCAATCTTGCAAGACATTGACAGGCAAGGAGCTAAAGTTATACAAACAATCTTTGTATTCATAAACAGTGCAGATTGTAGCTAGGTTTACGACTACTCACACTTCATTTTACGATTGCAGTTACCGCAACAGATGCGATAAAAGCTAAAACATTGAACCTCTATTCCGTAAAACGGTTTATTGCCCTTTTCCAATATTTATAATAATATATTTGCATGCTTTATAAAAATGTTAAATGATTTGAATTATTATGTTAAAGATTAATTGTGAAGCAACCAGATATCTTCAATAAATAATCAACAGAGAATTTTAATTTAAAACAACATTGGAGCTATAATTTGAAGTCGTTAAGCATACGAGTCGAGTTAAGTAAATCAATACCAGTATTTAAAAACAATGATTCTCATGCTAGGTAATTATCCGACGCCAATGCTATATGTGTTTTGCACTGTCTCATGATAACAATGGCCAATAATTTCATGCCAACTCTTACTTAAACATTCAGGTCGTCAAAATATACATCGACTTACCAGCCATAGGTGGTCCAATAAGATGTCCAATACCCTGGCTCAATAGAACCAGTCCATATGCCATTGTGAATCTTTCCAAAGCGATCAACTCCACCAAAATACTCGGGGTATATGAATATGAGCTTGAGAACATCAGACCAAACATAACAGCATTTAATGCCAAAATATAGAAACTGTAGGGAGCTTCTGGGTCCATCACACGTATTAGCACAGGGAACAGGATGATAGTTATCCCACAAAATATGAGACATACGGCATAAGTCTTCGTAACGTTCACCCAAGGCAGATCACCCATCCAACCCAATCCGACCTGAAATGTATAACACTCAATATTAATCAAAATCCAATATAGAATAAAAATTATTACTAACGAAGCATTATCTTAACAGAAATCTGGATTCTTTTCATTACAATTAATACTTACAATGCCAATAATAGTAGCTATACCGAAGACACTCAACATCCAAGATCCATGAACCTCAGAGTATCCACTCATCAGCATGAAATTAGAGATATAGAAATAAGGTACAATGAACCAAATGAAGAGCACTAAAGTCGACAGATTCATCATCAAGAAATGAAACTCGGTAAACATATTAAAGTCAAAGGTTTTGTTGATCGTGTCCAATAGTCGTTTGCCCCAAGTCTGAAAACGAAAAATAAATATATTAAATTTATTAAAATCCACACTTTCTTTTTTTACCTCTATGCAACTTTGTATTTCTTTCTCATCTTCCTTCGACTCAAATAATGTTTTTTTGAATAAAAGTAAGCTAAGTATTTAGTAAAATGAAGATCATAAATAATTATTACCTCTTCTTCCTCAACGGACCACATAGAATTCTTATAAATGTCAGGACAAGATGAAGCTCGCAGCTTGTATTTAGCAATGTTCATCATAGCACCACGGTGCATGATCGAGTTACGATGTACTCTGATATTTCTTAAATACTGATGATCAGTAACAAATTGCCTTGTCCACCAGTCTTGACGCTCCCTTTGCACAATCACTGGTTTATTTTCAGGTATCGGCTGCAGCAGTTTCTCCCTAACCTGGTCTAATTTATTCTCAAATTCTTTCTTCTTTTCTTTCTTATTCAATTTTAATTTCATTGACATCTTAATCGGTTTAGTTTTAGATGCCTCTGCCGCTGGTTCTACATTCAATTTTTGTTCAGAAGTACTACGTAAAGCTAACAACGATGGGTAGTTTTGTAATATAATATTGTAAAGCTTTTTATTTGTTGTAAGCTGATCTAAAACCTCAGCAGGCACCTGAAAAATACATTAATGTTTTAGCTTCATATAAAATACATAAAAATAAAGTTTAAGTATTAGTTTTATAGTCAAATAAATTATTCTTACCTTTTCACTTTGTCTTAAAAACGTAGGTAGATTAATTACTGAACTAACTTTATGATATTGTGACATATCAGCATTTCTCTTAGTTGCTGCTTCCAAATCTTCTGCTTGGGCAATAGAAGCCACTAATGTTGTAAGTATATATTCAGGTGTCTCACCACTTTTCATCAATGTCTTTAACTCTTCAGCTCCAGGATAAACAGATTCACCACCTCCAGACTTAGCCGAAATAGATATAGAACTAGATGCTCTTTTTGACTTATTTAGTTTCCTTTGTTTTTTCTGTTCTAATATCAACCATTCAGGATCTCTCATGACAGCACCACACACACATACATTAAGTACAGTACCAGCTAATAATAATAAGGTACCTCTCCATCCAAATTCTTCCAATAAATACGTCGTTAGTGGAGAATATATAAAAGTTCCGAAACCAACACCACAGGAACCTAATCCAACAGCTAAATTACGACGTTTTTCGAACCAGTAGGCAATTGATACCACGGCAGTGACGTATAACAAGCCAGTTCCAAGACCAGCCATAATACCGTAAGTTACGTATAAGACTTCAACAGAATTACTATACGAAGCAGCTACAAATCCTATTGTCGACGCTATACCACCAACTATTGTCATACTTCTGCATCCATATCGATCAACCAAAGCACTCATAATAGGCCCAGCTATTAATGGTACGGAAATAAAAAGACTTCCAATCAAAGATGTTTTTGCTTCACTGGTTTCAAAATAGATGACAAACTTGTCATGCATCAAGCCGTAAGAAAAAGCCAGACCATCAGCTACCGTAGCAATGAGGAATGATGCAGCAACGACTACCCAGCCCCAACCTCCATCAGGGATTTGCGGCGCTGGTTCTTGCGGTGGTTTACTAGAACAAATACTGTCATCGTCCCCAAGACCAAAAAACTTGACACCCTCAGTTGTTGAAACAGCGCCATCATCACTAACTGAATCTTTATGATAGCCTACTGAAAGGCGGTTATCCTTAATTTCCGTTTTCATAGAATTAACAGTATCTAAATCATCTTTAGGTTTTCCCGTATCTCTCACTTCATTTTTATCCTCATTCGCTCCATCTATATACTTCAAATCATCAATCCTCTGAAGCAGGGGAGACGTAGTCTTCTCCTCTTCAGACGGTATTTTATGTTCATGCTTGCTAGAAGGATCTTTGCCTGGAATTCCATTTGTATACGCTCGTTGTGATTCCATTAGTCTTTTAGACGATCCTTTTTTAAGTACGGTTCTAAGTACGTACTGTTTTGTCACTAATTCGGTCCTCTAATGGACTCCGTGAATACTACCAGATTTGGATTAAAAATCCAACAACCGAAAATTCTTCTACGTTGAAGAAATTGTTAGTTCTCTTGACCAGTGTCTTAATCTTGGGTCTCTAGCCGAATAACGGCAAAGTCTCTTCGAAATACAAAGTGTTAGGGCGCAAGGGTTGTAACTTGTCGAGTACATCAAGGACCGGCTAGTCCTCGATTTCACACTTTTGAAAAATTCACTTTCTTTATTGTCACGCGTTCGTCCTGAGAACGTCGTGTACCTTCTTGACATTAATTAAAGTTTTATAACTCGAAATATGTCCAACATTTCAAATTTGTTGAAGACAGGATTAATCTGTAACAAAAAGAAAATAAAGCGTTAATTATATAACAGATTTGGGGAAAAATCATTTTGGGGTAAATTATTGGCAACATTTTAAAACTACACTTTTGGTTTTGACGCCAGTATTAGAATAAAGCAATTATATTTCCGTGTTTGTTTCTCTGCTCTAATTTTACGAAATCCAGAAATTACATTTTGCAACCGGGAAAATCGAAGCAAAGTAAAAACCTAAACAAGGACCGGTGACAAAAACAAAATACCTAGGTGCTTAACCTATCTCTTTACTTAACCTCGAGATTCGATCAACCATAAATCTAAATAAATTAAGTAAATAGTGAGAAATTCAGTTCTGTAGGGTGCCATAGGCAGACAGGCCGACATATATTATCACTGACTCACGCGTCACTGATGTGTGCAGTTCATAAAAGCATCACTATCAAAAGAGATAACGTTAGGTCTCGTACAGAACATTACTACGAGTATGTACTTAGTTAAGTATTCTTTGTACTGAAGAAGTGTTTGCTTTGCATTGCGGGACGATAACATTAAAACGTTCATTGTCTGTCAGATAATTGTTCTTTAACTAGGTTTAGGTTGAGTCTGAATGAAGTCTGGTGGGTTTGCGTACCTAGGTATATCATCACTATATTAATATATACATAGTATAAAGCAAAGTCGTTTTCTCTGTCCCTTTCCCTATATCTCTTCGTGCAATTAATCTTTAGGACCACGCAACGGATTTGATGCGGCTATTTTATTAAAAAGAGTGATTGAAAAGAAAGGTTTATATTTACAATAACATCAATTAAATGGATTGCACCGAAGCCGGAGCGTGTCGCTAGTTTTATATACTTAAAGCATGAAGAGTAGGTAAGCATCTATATTTGCCGCCGGCGCCAGTTACAGTAATAATCACGTACAAAAAATTACGTAATAAAAGTATATATTTCTTGCCATCTTGCAGTTACAGCCAAATGTAGGGTATCACCGCGTACAATAATTTTGCTTATTCATGTAATTCAGAAGCTAAACCGCAATTAACCTGCAGGGTGTGTAAATGAAACTAACAAGGTTTCTTTATGGCCTCTTTATTAATACCTGCCTATAATCTGATTATAGATTTCATATGTGTTTTATTTGGCATGTAAAACTTATTTTAAGGTTAATGTGCGAGCTATTAATTAAACAAATACCTACGGGTACAGGAAAGGATATCACCAGTGATAACGTTGTTTATTGTATAGAGTTACCTAAGTACTTACATAAAAGTAAAAACCAAAATATTTCAGACTAGAATTCTAGAAATACCATCACACTCTAAGTTATTATTATGTTCCTGCAATGTTGCCAGTGATGACGAATACAGCAAAGACTTGGTCCCATACATCTGGTCAAAGAGACTTTCAGTCGCCCAGCGATCGATTGTGAGAGCTAATCCTGCTTGGAGTTTCTTTCCCAAATGTGGGAATTCGCCAAAGAACCTGAGTAACGGAGACAGCTCTTAAAATCTGCAATGAGCAGGATGGGTCAGAAAAGTATTCGAGTGGCGACCACGGACTGGAAGACGCAAGACGTAGCGTGTTCAGAACTCGAGGTGGACCGAAGACATCGTCAGAATCGCAGAGAGTTAATTGATGCGAGTGGTAGCTTGTCATTCTGCGTGATGAACTAAAAGGGGGCCTCCCTTTTAGCGAGGGACGTCTACCGTTCGTTGATGATGATGTTCGTGCGTTTGCCATAAATTATTATTTTCAATACATGTATTTTATGTACTTATTTCTTACTTATCAAAAGGCTTGTGACGGCTACAATGAATTTAAAACCCTTCAAAAAGAATTTTCGTCTGGTAATAAAATCGAAGAACAATCCTCAATTTAGTATTCAAAGGGCTAAGAAGTTTCATACTTACGAGTCAACACCTATAGTCCTATATACACATGTTCGTAGGTATCTAATTACTTTTAGTCCAAAACTTAATCCATACTTACGTCTTACGTTTCCATTATCGAAGCAAATTGGTAATTTCCCAAGGAGGTTTTATAGATAGCCACTTGACCTAATAAATCCGAGTAAGTACCTAGTTTCCCCGTTTAAGTGGTTTGAGCTCAATCAGATAAGCTGATATTGTTCCAATAACGATACCTTCCTTCTGTAGTGCATATTGGACCAATAATAGCAATATCCAGACAATACTCAGCTTTTCTTTTCCCAATGCATCTCTAACTTTACTATCAGACAAAACGTTTGTATGTAAAGTGGGAAAGCGAAAATTAAACCGCTTTACTTCCAAGCAGACGATCTGGTGACTTTAAGTTACCCTTTATGTATATGTATTTCTTTTCTTTTTTTTGGGCGGGAAATTCATAAAAATACTTTTTACTGCTTTGAAGCTATCGCCTTTTTACTCCTGCTCCGGATCAGGGGCACTAATTTACCATTTGACTATACTTTTTTGAACTTCTTCACTATCTGACCTTCCTATAACAATGATTATCATTCAAGATGTAATGTTGAACCCATTTTGTTGGACAAAAATCAGCCCTTTTTCTGAAAGAAGACTTCTGACACAGTATATAGAAATAAGTAATTTGCAAATATGCCAATTATGGCCATGTATCAGGGTAGGTATATATAACTGGTGTGTCACGCTAACAGTACCCTTGAGGACAGAATTCTAATGAGGGCAGTTGAACAGATTGATGGGACGACCCGAGGCTAAACCATTGAGTTGATTATTATGATGTTAAGTCACGGAAGATGCATCCACCTACATACTTAAGGCCAAATGATCCTCTAGTAATTTGGTCAAGTGACTATGAAATTTTCTATGAAATAGAGAAAGTTTAAAGTTAGGAATCTTAATGTCTAGTGCGAGATTGCCCTACGTTAGTATTGAAAATGAAGCCTACTGCCAGATTACTTTACGTTAATGCGATCGACACTTTTATGATGTTTGATGCTTTGATTGGCCTTCTCAACCCAATCAGAAGGCTAAACGCGACAACCTTTGGATCGCGTTTAGTGCAGATTACACTATTTCGCTGCCCTACATTATGTTTATCTAGATGTGGTCTCCATTCCCTGAACATTGTAAAAAGACCGGTCTACTCGTCTACTATCACTTCAATATTGCTAAACATTTGGTTTCTTTTTTCACTCAAAAACTTAGATCTCCTTTCGGATCACTGCTTCCTAGTTAATCTTTCAGAGAGGAGCGATTCTCTTAATATTCAATGCCCATTAACTTAACAAACAAACAACTGGATAAAGATCTATAGATTAGAATACAAATGATGCAATCTGAATTGAATGAATTCAATCAGCCAATAGCAGAGCTTTATTCAAAACGCAGGACTGCGCAGCATGCCAATTTGGCGTTTAATAGAAGCCGGAAAATATCGTGGGAACGATAGGAATCAACGTTTCAAAGGAGCTTTGTATGCTAAAATGGATTAAAGAGCATCGTTTAAAATCAATAGTTATAGAATTCAAATTTGAGTTTACATAGTAGAATTGTTTACTATTCAAGAATAGAATTCGCAATATGAGAAGAGCACATGACCATACCTCTTTTTTAAATACCGAAAAGGCTAACAATCCTCTAATCTTCAAAGTCTCTAGTCTTTGAATAAAAACTTTAAGATAACGTAATTGTACTCAATCAGTTACCTAATCATGTTTTAGCAAAACAGAGGCATTTTTAAGAGTGAAGTTTTCTCGCAAGTCATTTTAAAATTCGAAATACTTTATAAGCCTACCTACATACCTATTAGAGCACAAAGACCACAGATTAAAATTATTACAGTCATAAAATTTGTAAAGATAAGAAATACATTTTATTATTATTATAATATGTAAAAAGATAAGGTGCACACATAAATTGAATGAGGTACATGCACATAAACTCAGTGGCAGGTCATAGTTGATACGGTACAAACGTTCAACATGTATGTAATAACAAGAACTTAATAATAGGCATTCAAACAAATGGTACTTTTCCACTACACATTATTTTGTAGTAAATAATGTAAAGGTTGCATTGTGGTGTAACATTTAAAATAAGACCTCAGCAAGTTTAAGCTAAATTGTTTTATTATAACTTCTAATCGAGCACTATTGTATTTTTTTTTTCGTTTGTTTTGGTAGTGATATGACCTCACAAAACATCGGTTTTAAACAACCACAACGTTGTGTTTCTCCACACGAATAAGGTTACCAAAAGTCCAATCCCTCCTCAATTCCTAAATCTCCAAAAGTTCGGCATCGCACTCGTACCTCCCCCGTTGTTGAATGGACACACATGAGCGGCGCTGATTGCTAACTATTCTATCAGGCAACACAACAGATTCTTTACCATCCTATCACTTAAAAAATGGCAGAAAAAAGCCAATCATAATGTTACAAACATTCACAATATTAGAAAAGTCAGTGTGTCAGTCAAGCATGGTCGTAATAATAATAGTAATGGAAATTGATAATTTTATTTATCGATAACTTCCAAATAAGTAAACGTGTCACACTGACACCTAATAGCCAGCTGATTGTCGGTAATCAGGGGTCAAGGCCGATCGATTCATGAATGCGACGACCCACGGATTGCGATACTAAAAATAAACTATGCGTAGGTAGTATCATTACTAGCTAAATAGGTAACTTAGTCAATGAAATGCTCGAAAGATAAAATATAAAAAAAGAAAATTTATGGAAGGCATTCTGACTTTGCACAAGTCCATATTTTGTATACTTGTTAAAACGTGTTTTGTTCTTATATTTATGTTTATGTAGTAGACAGAAAATTCTCATTCAGACTATGGGCATAGGTATAGAAGAGGTGTGTATTTTGAAACTCAAAGGGATAGTTTTCACCGACCTATGTCATATATGTCATATATCTATATTAAAATTGTAATAATTTCTAACCCTACCCAGGTCTATATGAATAGTGTTTCATAGATGATATTTGAAAGCTTTTCTTCTTTCAGTAGTTGGGAAGATAAAAGAACCAATAACAT